CACCCACTTTTTAAAACAAAGTTGCCACTGGTTTCAGTACTGAATGAATCAGCATGTTTGAACAAATCTATTGAATGAATGATTCAATGACTCCCTCATAAAGACTTCACTTGTTTCAGTGAGTCATTGAATCATTCATTCAAGAGATTTGTTCAAAATTGCTGATTCATTCAGTACAGAAACAAGTGAAGTATTTGAATCATTCATTCAATACCATAATAAAAAAAAAACATTTAAATTAAGTATTTAATAGTAAATGCTATGTTATTTTGTTCAGAATCATGCAGCTCTAATAATCGTGCAGCTCTAATATATAGGTAATTATACCATGGTCTGGGTGAATACTCGATTCTGAATGGCTGCAGGGTGTCTGTTAAAAAGTGATAGAGGACACCTAGTAAAGTAGTCCTGGTGAAACTGCCTGTTTACCATTCGAAATTAATAAATAAATGCGCTGCCTACAACAGCTGTGAGTAACCATAGCAACAGGCCGTCAAAGTATCTGTTAACAATTTGCTCCTTCAAAACAAACATCTAACGTTAGTTAGATATTACATAGCCTACTAATACAACAATGAGCGACTTCGTTAATTCTTTTAACATTTATGGAGAATATGACAACTTTGACTTTGACACGATGCTGCTGAAGAAAGAAAAAATGTAAATAAAACGGAGAAACGACACAAAGAGATAACACCAGGAGAATTGAATCAAATAGAAGACGAAAAAGATGAGATCAACACGAAAAAAAAATACGAAATGGGCAGTAAATACACTCAGAGACTTTATTTTTCAAAAAATAAAAAATAAAAAATGGACTCCAGCTTTGAAAATTACACCACTGCTGCTCTGAATGAGACCCTGCGAGAGTTTTACGCAGCTGTCCAGACAACCAGGCAGGAGGAGAGTAGCTACAGCGTTTCAAGCCTAAGGAGTCTGTTTGATTGATTGATTAATTGTTTTATGTGTAATAAAAAAATAACTATGCCTAGCCTACCTTTGTGTTTCGTGAAAAAAAATGCGTTTTTGAACCTGAAGGGTTCTACAAGCTGAGCGGACTATAAATATCTCCGGTTGCTAAATAAACCGTCAGGCAAGTTATTATTTGTAAATCTAGATTTAGCCTAATTAAAATATAAACTAATGTTTTATTTGGCAAGTGACCATGGTATAAGCGGGTTAATGCCCTCCGAGGTGTCCATTGTCAGGTTTTAATGGACTTCGGCGGAAGCAACCATCCTCCGCTGCGCGTCGGCCTGTTCACACATCGCCGTCGTCCATTAAAACCTGACAATGGACACCTCGTCGGGCATTAACCCTTACATAACTAGAATAATAACAAAGTGAAGTAAATGTGCTGTGCACCAGTGTGTGTGTGTGTGTGTGTGTGTGTGTGTGTGTGTGTGTGTGACTGATACAGGCAAAAGCGAGTGAGAGTTCGCTGCTCGTACATCTCCATGCATGCGCTGTATTGTTCTGATGGCTTTCCTCAGATTAATCCAGACGGATGATCCGCTGCGTCCACACACACCGTGATGTTTCTGTGTCTCGCTCTCCCAACTAATGCATTTTCCTTGTTCTCAGAGCGCAGACGGAAAGATCTCCATCTATCAGTGTGATTTATTCAAGTTCTCGAGGTGCGTTTTATACTCTCTGGTTTTAGATGATTAAATGTAACGTAAAGCACATTTGATCGTCTCTCTCGGTCTGTCAGTGCCGTTGCAGGAAAGTTTGGAGGGATTTGGGATCGAGGAGCACTGGTGGCCATAAACCAACGTGACAGGGAAAAGTACGTAGCCTATTAAATAAATCAACATTTCACATCCGGTTATTTATGTATGGTTTCAGTGGGATTGTATTTGAATAGATCGGCTCTTTATCCCACAGGTACGCCTCTCTCCTCGTTTCTTTAATGAACGATGACTGCAGATATCTGGTGAACACGGTGGAATACGATCCTGAGCTGTACAAAGGTAACGTTAGGAAAGATTTTTATTCATTATAAAGCATGTGTGTTTTGTTTATAGTGTTTGATCTCGTCTGTTGGCTCATTTGACATGCAGGCCCGCCGTTTTTTGTGTCAGAAGAAGATTTAAAGAACATATTTGGTGAGAGTTTGGTTCTGAACACATCACCTATTTCATTAGGTGTTTTTGTTATTGATTCGTCATTATAGAGCTTTTATTTCTAGATGGTTTTAGCCAATAATCATCCTGTCATATTCCAGGAGGAGGCTGCGTTATCGAACTAGTTCAGGCTATGGACGGCTTCGAGGAAAAGCACAGATCATGGGGACTGGATTCACTGACGGAGAAACTCTACCTTCTCTCTCCAAAAGCCCAGTGATCAATCCTGAAATCAGCTGGAGTGTGATTAAAAAGGGGACATTACTTAATGCAATAATAAAATGCATACTAGGGTTTAAGGAGTAGTTCACTTTTAAAAAAACTTTTTGCTGATAATTTACTCACCCCCATGTCATCCAAGATGTCTTTCCATGTCTTTCTTTCTTCAGTCGAAAAGAAATTAATTTTTTTTTAATGAAAACATTCCAGGATTTTCTCCATATAATGGACTTTAATGGGGTCCAAACGGTTCAAGGTCCAAAAGACAGTTTCATTGCAGCTTCAAAGGGCTTTAAACGATTCCAGGTCATGAAAAAGGGTCTTATCAAGCGAAACGATCAGTCATTTAATACATAAATGAAAAAGTTTAAGTTTTATAAGCACAAATACTCGCCTTGCTCTGTTCTGTGATGAGTGTTCGTGACTCTCCTGTTTGAACTCGTTCATCAAAATGAACTAATCTTTTTCCAAGTCATTTGGTTCATTCAACGAAACGAAACGAATAAATTGACTCGGAAAAAGATTCATTCATTTTGATGAACGAGTTCGAAAAGGAGAGTCAGCAACGTGCATCACAGAACAGAGCAAGGCGATCATTTGAGCTTATAAAACTTCAACTTTGTTATTAATTTATAAAATGAGCGATCGTTTCACTTGATAAGACACTTGTTCATCGTCTAAAGCCCTTTGAACAGTTTGCAGTTTGCACTGTAACTGTCATTTGGACCTTAAACCATTTGGTACCCATTGAAGTCAATTATATGGAGAAAATCCTGGAATGTTTTCATCAAAAACCTTAATTTCTTTTCAACTGAACAAAGAATGACATGAACATCTTGGATGACATGGGGGTGAGTAAATTAAGAGTAAATTGAGTTTTTAAACTGAACTACTTTAATGGAAGACAATTGCATTTTTTTGTATTTTCATAAAAGTCACGTAAAAGTTTCATAATTGGAACGTATTTCAAAATATTTGAATAAATCATTAATGAATTATTTTTCAGATATTTCGTTTGTTTCATATCTGGATTGGTGTCTGTTGGAGAGTGGGGTATGTGTGAGCTCTCGGTTTGACCACGAGAGGGCAGTAGTTTGATATTTTCACGATGCTTTTTACATTTACCAATACGACAAGAAACATAGCAGTAAAAGATTAAGAATAACATCTAGAAAATATGGTTTAGTCATCATAAACATTGAAAGATTATGAACATATTCACCGTATTATGAATAAAATTAAGTGAGTATTCAAACTCAAAGTAAATCTTACTTATCCAGTTATTTTATTGAATAAAGGAAAACAAAGTGCTACTTTTGTAGTTCTGGACATTATGAGATTTTAAGTAACCAGTGGTATGTTACACAAATTAACACATTAAGCTGTTAGTATTTTTATTTAGTGCATGTGAGTTCAAATACTGTGGATAAAAGTGTCTGCGGAATAAATGTAAATGCTGAAATATATATCGCTTTAAAGGCCTGTAAACAAGCTAGAATTATTTTCTGTTCTGTTTAAATCTGTTCTATTTAAATCTGTCTTAAAACTTTTTTAAGGAAGGAAGATTTTTTTTTTTTTAAGGAAGGAAGAAATGTAATCTCAAATGAGATGACAGAACAGTTATGGAATCAGAAAGAGAAATTACAGAATTAATATTACTCAGTATCAATTAATGTATACAGTTTTAATTCCTGTGTTCATATGCCTCATATTAAGCGAGCTAAATGCCGCCTCAAAAGCGTCACTGTTCCAGGATCTGTGTGTAGCCTACATTTGGACTCGTTTCTAATCGCTCTCTCTTCTTTTCTTTAAATGAAACAAAAACACTTGGGTAAATAGTTTGTCTCGTCCGCGTGACCGCGCGTGCACCGCTGGCCAGATGTGCGCCTGTTTACTTTAAATATAGCTCGTGCTGAGGCACCCCGAGTCTCTCAGCCAATCACGGGCGCCGGGGGCGGGGTCGGCTGGAATGTTGTGGATGCGAGAAAATGAACAATGTAACCCCATAACTGATGCTGTCGGGAATATCACTGCGCATCCACACACACCTACAGCGCGAGATGCTTGATTCGGGGACTCGGCTGCGACCGGACAGGGTTTGTGGAGAGACACTGAGCGTCTGCTGAAGTTCAGGGTGAGGCTCTTTCTGTCATGCACAATATAACGGCGTAGCATTATGCATCTGCATTGCATTAATGCTCATGATTTCATGCGATTTGTAATAATCAATATCACGCTATTCCGAGGAACTTCAATGTTGCGGCCGCGCGCACTGAATCCACCCCAAGGGCATTGCGACCATTGTTTCCTTGTCATATTTCACACATCTCTTATATACCAGCTCGCTAAAATATGAACGTGTCTGCTGACGTTTCGGTGCTTAATAACGACTACATTCATCCACATGATCTGACGCGCAATTAATGGAAGAGACCCACATTATTGTCGCGGAGCGATAACGCAAACAAACCAACCTTTGGATAATTGTAGCCCGAACGGGGTATTCATATTTGCTCAGATATGCTTCTGTGTCATTAAAGAGTGGGAAGAGAGGGAGGTGTGAGATTACGCGCGCGCCCGGTTGCGCGAGTCTCTCTGTAACTCAATCAGCTTGTTGAGCTGGTAAAGCGAGAAGACACGCGCTTCAGAGGCGTGTGTGTGTGTGTGTGTGTGTGACGGGGTTTGCGCTGCGGTTCAGGGCTGGTCTGAGAGGCATGAGGGTTTGTGCATCCCGTAATATTGCGCTGGTGAAAACAAGCAGAGCCATCTGACAGAGAGAAGGGGAGCATTTCGGTATCGGGAGTGATGATGACGATGATGATGATGATGATGAAAAAGCCATAACGAGGGACAACGTCATAATAACAGGTAACGCACTTAATCCGACCTTTGCGCGAGATATAAAACAGAGTTCCTCATATAAAGAAGTAGGCTAAATGCAACAGTGGTAAATATTTAGCGATTTAAATTTTTTAATATTATAATTCGAGTGGGAATAAAATAGAGTAGCCTAATGTTTTATATTTTTAAATATTTAAAAAGCATTATATTACGTAAAATAATATAAGCATATAAAAAAAACGGTATTGCTTAATATAGACTACCAATACTAAAAATACTTTTTTAAATGCTACTTAAATATAATATTTAAGTAGCATTTAAAAAAGTATTTTGTATTTAACTAAAACACTGTATTTAGTTATAATATACTTTAATTATATGAATTATTTACACGTACATGACAGAAGGGATTAAATCCAAAACAAACCTAATAATAAGCAGAGGCCTGTTGAGAGATGTGTGTGTGCTGGAGACGGGATCATGTGTGTGTCACAGGTGTATCAGGATCATCACAGCATTTTAATTCTCTGTTTAATTAGATCCCAAGATACCAAGAAGTGCTTCAGATTCACCAGCACGATGAAAGCTGATGGGTTTGTGGAAGTCGAGGTTTAGCTTCTAAATAGATTACTTGTGTCGTGTCATTTTGCGTGTCGTGACATGAATGAAGCGTCAATCCCTGCAGGGAATACCGGAATAACGTCTGGAATCTCGGCTCTTTTGACAGGCTCTCAAACTCATTCCATGGAGTCATATAACATAATGTATATGACCTCATCCGGGCCGGAGGAAGGTAAAGAGAGAAGGAGTGTGGGAATGAAGAGGTGTTTTTTTTTCAGTTTGACATTTAAAGCTCATACAGTTATGATAACCTCAGATTGTTCCCAGCCTTCCCAGTTTGTCAGGATAATTAGCCGTCATGGCGGGTGTGCACGGAGCATATTGTTTAGACGTAATTAATCAAGCCTGCTGGTAATTATCATTGTCCATAAATTAACACATGAAGCAAGCAGCGGGTGTTCAGAGAGATGCAGTCATCATCATAAATAATAACCGCCTTTTTACAGGAACCAAAACTACTTTTCAATCTGCCAATCCCAGGAGAGATTAGCGCAGAACATCATGTCAGATCTTTCTTAAACATCCTCGGCTCTGAAATTACACAGACTTTGGTGATGTGGGTCTGTGTTTTCTCCAAAGCCCGTGCGGATGACCCATCGGTCTCAGTCGACCTGTAATGACAGAGTTTCAGGGTTAATTTTAACTCCGGCTCTCCACCGTCCTCACCGCATCGTTTGTGTTTCTCCAACATCAGCTGCCACTAACATTATTTTTACACGCTGCAATTCAGGGCAGCTGAAGCTCTAAAAGCAGAACAAGTCTGCCATAACCAGTGGATAACACTAGTGACATTCGCCTAGTGCTGCTGTGATACATCCAGGTTAAGCCAGGACGGAAAACTACTGTAAAAAATGATCGTGATTTTAACATGAAAAAATGCTACAGTGCAAAACCGTTAATTGGTTAACAGAAAGTTTCCTTACTATACATGGTAAATAACTGTGATAGATCTAATGGTACATTTAATGTAATTTTACTGTAAAATACCATTAGATTTACAGTTTTTGGAAGTGAAAAAGAACAACTGGTATAATTTACAGTGAAATCCCGTAAATTGACATTACCACAATTCCATGCATGACGCTGTATTTTGTTGAAATAACAGTTTTTTCATAGTTTTCTACTCAGTTATGTACATTAGGGTTTTATGTTACATGTAATGTTGTTAAATTAGTGTTTATTGCACTTTTTAAATTTCACATGTGTTACCATGATGGTGTTTGTGCGAATTACTCTGCAGCTTCATATTAATGGAAGAGTTTGTTTGCGATGAGCTTTGATTGATCATGTGACTCAGTGCTGTGATTGGTGGTGGTCAGTGTATTACAATGGTACAAAACAGATATCAATACTTCAATATATCAGAAAATGAACATTGTTTCATATATTGAAGCACAGTTTATTACTGTGAATTAAAAGTGAAGTCTGTAAAACCAATAATGTTGCTACCGTATTTCTGGCAACCGCAGTGTCTGGTATTTTCCGTAAAAATTATGTTTTATTTTTTACAGTAGATAAGGTAAAAAATAAAACTGTATTTTTTTACGGTAAAAATGGCAGCATTATTGGTTATACAAACTTAAATTAAAATTTACAGTTATAAATTATATTTAATTAACAGATATAGTGTTAATTTAACAATCTTTTGAAGTATTGATAACTGTTTTGTACAATTGTAATACACTGACAACCACCAATCACAGCAGTAATGAGTCACATGATCAATCAAAGCTCATCACAAGCAATTCTTCCACAAGAATGTAAATACTCATTTAAAGAAGCTCCACAGTGTCATTCACACAAACATTAAACACCATCATCGTAACACACATGACATTTTAAAAATGTAATAAACATTAATTATACAACATTAAATGTAACATAAAACCCTAATGTACATAACTGATTACGAAAACCAAGACAACTAAGTAACATAGTTAGCCTTCAACAAAAATACATAAAATGAGAAGTGTCACACAGGGAATTGTGGGAATGCCAATTTTCGGTAAATTGTACAATGAGTTGTTCTTTTTTCACTTTCAAAAACTGTAAATCTAACAGTATTTTACAGTAAAATTTCATTAAATGTACCATGAGATCGATCACAGTTATTTACCGTATATAGTACGGAAACTTTCTCTAAACCAATTAACATTTTTGCACTGTAGCATTATTACAGTCTTTTACCGTTAAAATTACGATTTTTTTTTTTTACAGTGATTTGAACAACATGATGCAAGGGAAATGTTTTAACTGAGTGTTAATGAGCAAAGATCATAACACTAAATTGCCTAAGTAAATAAACTATATGCTGTCCCGGCATGAAAAAAAAAAAAAGTTTGGGGTTTAATGAGAATTGTCTTAAGTTTTTTTTTTTTTTATTTGGTAATAATTACAGTAAAAACTGAATTTTCTATTTTAATATTTTCATGATCGTTCAGAAATCATTCAAATATGCAGATTTTGCTGCAAGAAACATTTCTGATAATTATCAATGTTAAAAAAAAGTTGTGATGCTGCTTCATATTTTTGTGGAAACCGTGATACATTTTTGATAAATACAAAATTTGATGTGTTGAAAGGTCAAAGGAACAGCATTTATTTGAAACCATTGTAAAGTCTTGACTGTCAATTTAGGTAAAATATTAATTCTGTCTTTAAAAAAAAATGTAATACAACTATATTTTTAATCAGATATTGTTAATCAAAATAACACATACAATTATTAATTTATAAATATTATATTATTAATATAATAATAATAGTAACTCTGATAATGTTTGTAATATTTTTTTAAGTCCCCATGAAATCAGTTTAAAGTCCCTGTGGTGATACAGCTTTTAATGTTGTTTATGTGTGTATGTGGTGTATTTAATACGCTTTTAGACACCATATATCGACAGCATTGCTGAGTATTTCCTCCTTAAAGCTGCAGTGAACCAAAGACAGTCTCAAAAACACGTTTTGAAATCGCTGGTGTTTCTGACGTCACAAACAACCTTGTAACCAATCAGATCAACGTGTGATCGCCAATCAATGGATCACTGAGTGAGTGAGTGAGTGAGTGATTGAGTGGAGGCGGGGCTCATTTGCATAACGATTTTGATGACATCACTCTGCATTTCAGCTTCTCATCAGATTTTCTGTCCCATCAAATGCTCTATAGAATCTGAAGCTCCGCCCTCTACCCTATAAGCAGACGTTGAAGCTGCGGGTCGCTTGTTAACACGTTTACTATATTCTGCATGGTGAATGGCACACAGTGCACTATATAGGGAATAGGGAACAATCAGACAGTGTAAATATGCTTTCCACTGGGGCAAATGAAGTCTCCTGTTAGTTTCCTGTTAGTGTCACGCGAACCACCACAGATCCGTCTAGAGACACGACACACAAACGCACACACAATCCAGTCGCTGAACACCACAAAACATATCGTTTCCCAACATAGCTGGGATATAAACGAAGCTCTATTGGCTATTTCAATGGCTGTTTGGCTGTTCGATATGCCCCTCCCTGTCTTCCTGTTTCAGTGGAAATTACGTCAACACTGACGTATTTCAAGGCACTCTCATTTCCAAACTTAATATGCAGAGACAACTTTTTTTAGGGCGATTTCCCCCAAAATTGCAGTTTGCATAGTTTGTGTCTATGTTTCGTCGTTACTAACACAATTCAATGGAACTTGCGACCATAGTTGGCTAACGATGCTTTTGGAGGCACAGCAACATTGGTTCAGCCAATAGCGTGAGTTTGGGGGCGGAACTAACCGGTTTGCTTGAACAATGGCGGACAGGGGAGTGTTTGGCATCATTTAGTGCAGAAACCACTTCTGACCTTTCAAAGAAAGAATATGCAAATAAAAGCAGTGCAATCGTGAGGATGACATGTTCTCCAAGCAGGATTTTTCAGTTCAGTTCTGATTTATTCGCTGTAGACGGAGATAAGCTCCACGTCCAGCTGTCACACACTCATCATGTGAGAAAACGACACAGGAAGCCGACACACACCGCTCCATCACCTGCTCGCTGTCCTTCTCCATGGTCACCGCACACTGCCAACAGTGGAAGAGACGACACACACTCGTTCCGGAGAAGCTAATGAAGTGTCCAGAAGACAGATCACTGAAAGTTTGGAAGACTGTGTTCACTTATTCAGCTGTTTTCTGATTGAGCAATACGCCATCGCATCTCGATCTCATTACACGCCTCCGGCCCGCTCCGAGTTCCAAACCCGCTGTGATGTACGGGACGAATGTCTGAGACGTACAGCGAGCTGATGGATGAGGAAGAGAGAGAGGAGGAGGAGGAAACCAGAGAGAAAACAGTTCCAAGAGGGGAAAAAAGACCGTGCCATTCAAACAAAAATCATTTATTTGAACATCATATGAAGACAAAATGAGTTGCAAAGAAGAAAGACAGATGTATTTAAGTGCAAAAAAAAAAGATATTTTTACTTTGCAATATGGATTGCTTTTAATCTGCATTTCTTTCCGTCTTTCCCTTTGTGTTTCGCTGTGTGCCGTTGTTGTTTTGTGGGGGTGAAAGTAGAGCTTCTTTTTGCTGCTATATGCTTCTATATGAGTTATCATTTTGACATTTCATTAAATGTTTTATGTGCAGCAGGAAGAAAGCTATTCTGCGGTTGGTGGGAAAGCAACCTTAGCTTTCTCCTGCAGGTTTATTGGTCCTTGGTATAACAAAAAATAATTATATATACTCTATAATTTAATATACTGTAATTCAACATATTAATTAAACAGGTGAAACTCGAAAAATTAAAATATCGCACAAAAGTTATAATTGTGATGATTATGTCTTACAGCTTATCAAAACCCCAAATTCAAAATCTCACAAAATAAGAATATTATATGAAATCAATTTTAAAAAAGGATTTAAATTGAGAAATTTCAGAGGGCCGACAAATATAATCATGTTATATATAGTAAATATATTAGTTTCATCTTTTAATTTGAATTACTGAAATACATGACCTTTTGCACGATATTCTAATTTTTATGTAATATTAAAGGAAAATTGACATCTTCAAACTCAAATAGTTATTGGCTACACAGCTGTATCAAGTTTTTATTAATTATGGTCTTATATGCATACTGTTGGGTAGCACATTTCCAAGTAAATACAAGACTTTTTTAGGTTTACTTTAGTTAAACTGTCATGTTTCAATAAGTAATGTTTCAATAAATAAGCTAAACGCCCAAACCAACTGATTTGATAATCTGGCCCTCGAATGTTGAATATTCCTGATACAGGTGAAACTGGAAAAATTAGAATATGGTGCAAAAGTTCATTTATTTCAGTAATTCAACTTAAAGGAACACTCCGACTTTTGGGGACTTTAGCCTATTCACCTTATCCCCCAGAGTTAGATGAGTCCATACATACCTTTTTCATCTCCGTGCGTGCTATAAGTCTGTTTGACGCACCCGCTAGCCTAGCTTAGCACAAAGACTGGATGTGAATGGTTGCAGCTTTCATACTAATCCAAATGAGTGACAAAATAACGCAAACGTTTTCTTATTTACATGTTGTGGTTTGTATAGTCACAGACTGTACAAATATCAAGGCCATATGAGACACAGACATCTTTTAACCGTATAAATACTATATTTTCTGAAGGCGAAGCACTGATACTTGGGCAGAGTGATAACCATCACCTGAGACACGCCGTGACGAGGAGCAGAGAGTTTGTTCAGTGTTGGAGTAAAGAGTCAGCAATTACTAACGTTAGAAAAGCATAGTTTATCATGGGTGTTTGCTTTATTGTATGAGCTGTGACAATAAACAGGGGAGACCAGGTACCATGTTTCATTGAATTCCAACCAAAAACGCATCCAGATTTATAAATATCACAGAACATGAATAAACAATTATTATTACAGGAATCAATATATTTTAAATGTAATTTATTAGCTGAACCAAATGTATTCAGCAGCATATAATATACAGTATAATTGCATTATAGGATAGAATAAGGGGAAAGTAATAGCACAAATTGTTTTTGCACAATGAACTCACAGCCTATCGTACCCTTTTGCACGCTCAAGTTTGTTATTTCCATGGTTATTTCAAATTTAGGCTAGGCGCGCCGCGCGCAGGGTGCAATTTCAACGCGCTCGTTTTTCCCAAGCGCGTCCGCGCCGCATCAAGATAAAAACATATTCATACCCTAATCATATAATAGTGTCACTAACGTTACATTAGATCTGGCTAATGGCACTGTTACAGTAGGTCATCTAAAAACATAACATTTACCTCAGCCGCAGGTGATCCACTTGTCCTGTCTAGCTATAGATGGGATGGCCGTATCCTTCAGCACATTATGGTCCGTGTGGCAAATTCCATTTTTTTCAAAATAATCGTCCTCATTGAAATGTACCGAGCAAACATAATGTCCCTTGATAATCTATTTAGGTGTGTTTGGATAAATATCCAGAGTAAGTTAGCCATTTCTTCATCCAGTCAGCGTTTTTAGTTGGAATTCTGTGAAACATGGTATTACCTCCCCTGTTTACTGTCGCTGCTATTTACAATAAAGCGAAAATCCATGACTGTAAACTATGCTTTTACTATTTATAAATTGCTGACTCTGTTACCCAAACTCTAAGCGAACTCTCCGCTCCTCACCACGGCGTGTCTCAGGTGATGCGGTTATCAGTCCGCCAAAGTAGCAGTGCTTCGCCTTCAGAGAATAGTTCACAGGTTTTATACGGTTAAAAGATGTCTGTGTCTCATATGGCCTTGATATTTGTACACTCTGTGACTATACAAATCACAACATGTAAATAGGAAAACGTTTGCGTTATTTTGTCACTCATTTGGATTAGTATGAAAGTGCAACCATTCACATCCAGTCTTTGTGCTAAGCTAGGCTAGCGGTGGGTGCGTCAAACAGACTTATAGCACGCACGGAGATGAAAAAGGTATGTATGGACTTATCTAACTCTGGGGGATATGGTGAATAGGCTACAGTCTCAAAAAGTCGGAGTGTTCCTTTAAAAGAAACTAATATATTATATAGACTCATTACATGCAAAGTGAGCTATTTCAAGCCTTTATTTGTTATAATTTTGATGATTATGGATTACATTTGGGGTTTTTATAAGCTGTAATCCATAATCATCAAAATGATGACAAATAAAGGCTTGAAATATCTCACTTTGTATGTAACGAATATATATATTTATCCTGATGCAAATGAAAATCTAAACTGCAGTTCATTTTCTATGGTTCAACGTGAGATGAACTTCACCTGTGAGGCATAAAAAGCCAAACGAAAGGAAAGAAGGGAAATCAATGTCCTAACTAAGGGAGTCATGCATTAATAATGAGCCGCTTGTAATGGAAACCTGCGCATCTGTTTCCTGACAAACATGTGCGTGGCCTGCAGTGTTTCTGACCCATCACGTTTAACATCACCTGTCACATATCAGTAATGCATACAGGCAGAATCTCCATAAGCGTGCATGCATACATACACAGGTCCTGTTTATACGTCAGCGCTTTAGATTAGCTTGCGCTTGCAGTGGTCGGAGATAAGAGAGAAACTCTACAGGAATTCAGCAGAGGTAGAGACGAGCAGGTGAGACCTGAAAGCTGTCTTTGTGTGTATCCTGGCAGTAGAAACACTGAGCTTCTCACACATACACACACACACAGACAAACACCTCCTCTTCGTAACCACTGCATGCTTCTCGGCAGAGCAAACAAACTAACCCAACAGAACCTCAGTGTCGGCTCACGCTCGCCGTTCAGCTTTACTGAAGCTGCTTTATTACAAACCCGGCTCATGTTCAGCATGTTCACTGCAAACACTACAGCGTGTGTGTGTGTGTGTGTGTGTGTGTGTGTGTATGTGCGAAACAGCAGAACCGACTCAGACCACAAGACTAAATGCACCAGTTTTAAATCAAGCATGGCCTCATAAAGTGACGATGAGTCGCTTGATGTCTTGAAACCCACTGGTTTGCTTTGACTGAAGCTGTGAACTGGCCTTTTATACAGTAGCCAAACGTTTGTTATTAATGACCCGATTAAAGCATCAAAATATGAGGAAAATCAATGTTTATTGAAATACAATGTTAAAGTATTTTAAATATGTGGGAAGAACAAACGCTAAATTTGGTTAAGGTATTTATCTGACTAAATTATTATTACAGTTACAGGTTTTACTATGGAAAATAAATGCATTGAAAAACAACAAGCATACATGATTGACTGCAACATAATCAGTTATTAATATTTCATTGGTTCTTTTGTTTTGCACGTGTTCATAATTTCTTTGTATGAGAGCCTGGACAAAAACTATGTTGCACAATTTGGCTTTGTGAGTGTTCTTACAGTTAACTTTACATTTCTGAGCCTTTTTTAATGATGTTTAATCGAATAGTGAACTTGATTTTGTCAAATCAATTTAGATAATTACTGTGGTTCAGATTACATCATATGTTGAGTTTCCATTGATTAAACCAATCTCGTTTGTTGCATTGACTCCAGTTTTTTATTTCAATGAACTCAACATTTTAAGGTAACTTAATTTAGTTAAACCAACATTTTTTTTAATAACAATATAGTTTACATTGCGTCAGTTTTTAACGGGTGTTGTCCATTATAAATCTCTCCTCAAGAGAATGCAAAATCAAAACATTTTGAACATGAATTTTTTCCCCATTTAAAATCCCCCAAAATTATTAAATAAAATGCTGTTTTTCTTTAAAATGCCATCAAAATGCAATGATGCACATTTTATTGCCTTAATAGCATTCACATATTTACTGTTGTGATTTTCTGTTTTTAACCACTGCTTGTAAATCACAGTTTATTCGCTGAAGTTTAGAAAATGTTAATAATAATAGAAACTCAGAGTTCTCAGATCAGTGGATATTTGTTCATCAGTGGAATTATGTTGAATATCTGTCAGCTGTTAAATTTAACTACACAATTAGATAATACCAGTTTAGCTCAAACAGTGACCAAGAAATGCTTCGTGTTGTTCAGTGAGTGTGTAAAAAGAGCATTAGCAATTACAGAATAATTTTTGGTTTCAAATTTTTATAAATTTACTGGTAGTCACTGTATGATGAATATTTGGGTATAATATGTCATAAATGAACTATAGTGTCCTGCAAACACTATATACCGTATATATATATATATATATATATATATATATATATATATGGTGTTTGAATTATTTTTGGTTTGACTGTATGTCCTTTCATACTTCACCGCGCTGCCATCCATGATGCATTGCTCTCTCGCTAACGTTCTCATGTGTTTGACTCTGTCGTGTTCTGTGTGTGTGTGTGTGTGTGTGGATATGAACGAACAGAAGGCTGTGTACTGAAGTGTGCTCTTGATTCTCCACAGAGGGGATTCGCTGAGCCATGCGAAGAGAAGGAACGCAGAGAGCGAAGACATTTCCAGCGGACGCAGTGAACACGCTGTAAAACACTTTTGTTGGTTTAACTTAAAAAAGTAAGTAACCTGGTTGCCTTAAAATCTTAAGTTCATTAAAATAAAATAAAAATGTTGTTAAAGCTGCAGTGTGTAATATTTAGGAAGATCTGTTGACTGAATGCAATATCATATTCATAACTGTGTCCCGTGTTGTATAAAGAGCTACACAATGAACCGTTGTGTGTTTATTAGCTTAGAATGAGGCGTTTCTCTCTACACACAAACACTGCGGGTCCGATAACATTCACATGTTTCTATGGAGGCCCTGAACGGACAAACACGTTTCGTCACTATGTTGTTCTTCATGATAATAATAATAATAATTAAAGCTGCAAGCAGCATTTATCGGTGTTCAAGCAGTTCAGGCCTTTAAGCACAAAAGCATCGAAAGGCATTCAATTTTATTTAACATGCATTTATCCACGGACATAATAGATGTAAAACACCATTTACAATCAATACAGGCAATTTAACATTGGAAATGCATGGTTTTAAAGCTTTTTAACAGTTATAGTGCCACCTATGGTCCGATCTCCATGAAACTGTGCATGCTTCTTCGGCATGTTATGAGACATATGCTCATCAATTTTTGTGAAAATTTTGAGTTTTCCTTTAGGATTTATATGATTTTGGGTGCATTTTGTCCCATCCCTTTTGTAAACGACCCTGTTATAGCCAATCAAAAGCAAAAGTTCTACTTTTTTTCGATAATTATTTATCTAGAGAGTCCAGAGAATAGTATTGGGCAAAAAACCAGGGACTAGTTCGCAAAAGTGGGTTTTGGACAAAAACCGAAATAAAATTTTTTTTTTTTGCTCCAAATGGAAATCCGAGATATACAGCACCTTTCAGCACTTCGTGCTTGAACACCTAATAATGAGAGACCTTTTTGACGATTATAGCACCACCTATGATCCGATCCTCACGAAACTTTGCATGCTTCCTAACCATGTTAGGACACATATGCTCATCGATTTTTGTGAAGTTGTGACTTTTTGGGGGGGATTTAGGGGCTTTTGACTGAATTTTGCCACAGACCACTATCTAAATGAGCCTGTTACAGCCAACCAAATGCAAAATTTCAACTTTTTTTTTGATAATTATTGATCTAGAGAGTCCAGAGAATAGGCCTAGACTGGTTTGGTCCCGATTGGGCAAAAGACCAGGGACTAGTTCGCAAAAGTGGGTTTTGGACAAAAACCGAAATAACAATTTTTTTTACATCTTGTGCGTCTTGAGCCAGGGATTACAGTGGTGTAAAAACATTGAAGCTAAGTCAAACGGTCTAGGAGTTATGAGCAATTTAGTACTTTTGGTTGCTGTAGCGCCACCTATGGGCCAATCGGGGTCATACTCTGATAGCTTCTCCACAATTCGAGGCCCTACCATCTGACAAAGTTTCACAGCTCCAGCCCTTACGGTTTGGGTTGCACGATGCATTTTAGGGGATTTTTTTTTTCTTTCTAGCAAATACAATAGGTTTTCAGCACTTCGTGCTTGAACACCTAATAATAATAATTCATTACATTTATATAGCGCTTTTCTCGGCACTCAAAGCGCTTTACATAGAGGGGGGAATCTCCTCAACCACCACCAGTGTGCAGCATCCACCTGGATGATGCGACGGCTGCCATAGTGCGCCAGAACGCTCACCACACACCAGCTTACTGGTGGAGAGGAGGCAGTGATGAAGCCAATTGGTATATATGGGGATGATTAGGAGGCCATGATGGACAGAGGCCACTGGGCAAATTTGGCCAGGATGCCGGGGTTACACCCCTACTCTTTCGAAAGACATCCTGGGATTTTTAATGACCACAGAGAGTCAGGACCTCGGTTTAACGTCTCATCCGAAGGACGGTGCTCTTTGACAGTATAGTATCCCCATTACTATAATGGGGCATTAGGACCCACACAGACCACACTAACACCTCTTCCAGCAGCAACCAGGCTTTCTCAGAAGGTCTCCCATCCAGGTACTAACCAGGCTCAGCCCTGCTTAGCTTCAGTGGGCAACCAGTCTTGGGCTACAGGGTGATATGGCTGCTGGCTGCTGGATAAGAAGCTGCTAAAGTCAGCGAATAAAACACTGACTTAATGATGAACAAGTGACAGTAATATTCGCTATAACATAAATTTAAACCTAATTTCTTAATTTTCATTTGTAAGGAAACCTCATTGCTTAACTGGCTCCTCTCTGCTGTCTCAGACGACATCACTTCCTGCCGGCCACCATAACTTCTGTTCGTTGCAGTTCACAACCTCACCACTAGATGCTGCTAAAAATTACACACTGCACCTTTAAAGCAATGTGAAAACAAGTTATCATAACTTATTGATCATATTTTTTTTTTTTTACAGTGAACAGAGGTTAGGCTAGAGGTTAGCATTGATGGACAGGTGGAGATCGGAGCAATGCTGGAGCTTCGGCCCCTGTTGTCCCGCTAACGATCCCGGACCGGATCCGGCGCTCCGAGGCTGAGGGACTCATGCAGGCCCGGAAGAAGTACGTGCTTCTGGGCTTGTGCTCGTTCTGCTGGCTTCTGCTGTATTACCTACAGGACCGGCTCCTAGGTTTCCTCGTGTATAGGAGAGGAGAGGGTGCGCGGCCGTGGCCCGACTGGCTAGATCGGGATCTTTTCCCGGGATTCGCCGAACACGCCGAGCTGTTAAATGACGGAGGACCGGGAGACTCGCCTCGGCAGCGACGCCAAGCGTGGACGGGGATCTACAAGGACAGTCGGTGCAGGATGGAAACATGCTTCGATTTTGCGCGATGTCAAGCTCTAAGCACGTTTCGGGTCTATATTTATCCGCCGGAGAAGAGCGAACGAGTGTCGGAAAGCTATCGGAAAATCCTCACCTCGGTGGCAGAGTCGCGTTACTACACGTCGGATCCTCGGGAAGCGTGTCTATTCGTGTTGGGAATTGATACGCTTGACCGGGATCAGCTATCGACGCAATTTGTTCCTAACGTAGATGAGCGGATTCGCGGATACCCGCTCTGGAACGACGGGAGAAATCACGTCATCTTTAACCTTTATTCTGGAACTTGGCCAAATTACACAGAGGATCTGGGATTTAACATGGGACAGGCTATCTTAGCAAAAGCAAGCTTGAATACGGAGCATTTCCGACCGGGATTTGACGTGTCAATCCCGTTGTTTTCTAAAGAACACCCTCAGAAGGGCGGGGAGCGCGGATGGCTAGTGCGCAACACTGTCCCACCGCGCCGAAAGTACTTGTTAATGTTTAAAGGGAAACGTTACTTGACGGGCATCGGATCGGACACTCGTAACGCTCTGCATCACATCCACAATGGGAAGGACATTGTGTCCCTCACCACGTGTCGCCACGGAAAGGACTGGGAAAAGCACAAGGATGCGCGGTGCGACCGGGATAACCAGGAGTATGAGAGGTGAGTTTCTGGTTTCTGTGACTCAGTGTTGAACACGAGACGCTGCTATCGGTTACTGATGTGACAGAGTCAGGAGTGAATAACGCTCAACATGTATCAAGTGCTCTCTTGGGATGATGTCATACATCATACATGTGTTTAAACCAAGCGCAACCTTCCTGTCTCTCTCTTGAATCCGACACTGAAGTGAGTTAACCTGCAGTGCCTCCACTGGCCACTAGAGGCCGGCTGCAGAAAAAAAATGTGTTTACAGCCTGGTGCAAAACGTGGTTTTGGTCTATATAATGTTGACCTTCATGACGACTGTGAGGACGGTGATTTTTTTTTACAAATCAACCGTTTAAATTATATTGAGCCTCAAAGTTATGCATAATTACGGGAGTGGCCACTTGAGTGACAGGTAGTTTTCCGCTGATGCCACCGTTTGTCTGCTGTCTGATTAGCATCACGTCACCTCAGCTAATCTGCCTCGTTGCACACGTTCGGTTATCTGGGAGTGAAGCGCAGCCAAGATGGCGACGGCTGGCTCCGCCCACTTTGGGCTTCAGAAATGCTCTTCAGAAACACTACGGGTGACGTCACGCACACTTCGTCCATATGTTTTTACAGTCTATGGTTTAAAGAGACTTTGAATCAACATTTCTCATTTATGAATCAGGAGGTGAATGGATGTGCTTCCACTAAGCCCCGCCCCCCTTGGTTACTGTTGCTAGAGTTACAGAACATCAAATATAAATGTATATCTCCATAACTGTTAGTAAAATGTGCTCATAAATTATTGGATATTATCCCTACATTGACTGAAATGAAGTGTGATACTGAAAATTTATTTAAGTCTCAAGATTCATTTAAAGATTCATTGTCCCCATCATTTTATTTTATTTTTGGATACTTTCTGAGAAAATGCATTCAAACTTTATGTTGGCTTGACAAAGCTTTTTATTCTTCTCAGACTAAATTTTGTCAGTATCTCCAGCAGGCTAAATCATGTAAAATGTAATTTTTGCATTTAACTATAAGAGCAAAAGCTTGAGAGAAAGAATACGCATGGAAATAGTTGCTATGGCAGGATTGGTCAGTGACATTTGAAGGCGGGGCTTAGCTAAGATCAGTTTAAACCGCTAGTGTTTAATGACACAAAAAGCTTTGACTTTAATTACAGTATTCTAAATATTTTTGCAACGCATAGGCTACACGAGCCAATGGAGTTGAACAGAAATATGTGAAAGGAAGGGAGGAACTACCTCAGAGAATGTCTGTGAAATAAAGCGTTAGTCTTAGAGGAGTGTAAGGAATAAAGTCTCGAACTGTTGAATGGCTTCAGACTTGTTTGCTCTCGGTTTGTGGTGGATGAATGTGTTCATTTGTTCCACTCGACAGGTTCAGGGAACAAACTTATCCAAACTCTTCAGCAATATACCAGTGTGCGGTGGTCCTGGTCTATGTGAGGAAGTCCAGCATTCATGAAATACTTTATTTCTACTGGAATGAACATGGCGGTTTTCATCGTGGAGGTCTATAAGTGTGGGGCGGGTGGATTGATGCATGAACGGCAGTTTGAGAGTTTCATGAGGACATTTTAGAAAGAACATTCAACCCCAAAATATTTTTTTATTTGACATTTGATAATTTCGCAGCTTGACAAAATACTCAATCAGGAAAAGGATGACATGAACACATTTCATATAATTTTTTATTTTATAAATAACTGCAAAATGTTGTATTATAATTTTTTTAAGAAATATATAATTGTTTTTTTTTAATAAATAAATATTTTTATCACTTATAAAACAAGTACTCCCGCAGGAAAAGGATAACATGAACATATTTCATGTGATTTTTTTTATTATATTAATTTTATAAATAAATGTGTAAATACACTTTTTAATAAATATATAATTGTTTTTTTAATAAATAAATATGTGTATGTATATTTAATATATATTTAATTTAAAGGATAACATGAACATATTTCATGTGTTTTTTTTATTTAAATAATTTTATAAATAAATAGCTTCAACATTTATGTGATATTTATATCTGTAATATATGTTTAAAGATATTGTATTTTAAAATAGCCAGAATATTTAGAGTTGCACACCTCAATTCAACTGAAAATGATGTGGTAAGCGGGGAGAAATAAAATCAATCCCGATTTAATAAACAACACACTTTGTGGTCAGATTATTAAATACCGCACCTACTTTAAAACGTAATTTGATTTAATTTTAATTTAATTTAACTTTAATTTGGTTGAAATTACAGTAATATGGTAAACATTTGTGAATTTATAGTAATGTGTAATTTATTCCTGAATGTTCAGCATCATTACTGTTCAGTGTCACATGATCCTATAGAAATCAATCTGATAAGATGATCTGATGCTCGAGAAAGATTTCTTGACACGTTCCCCTTTGTGGAGTTTTGGAGACTGTGAGCCGGACTGTCACCGGCTCCGTCTCTTATTCCTGCTCAGTCACATGCAGGAATAGCTCTGAGGAGGTTCTGTGGGGTTAATGATCTCCAGCATCTGCTACTTCCACAGATTAACCTGAAGGCACCCGGAGCATCCGATCCCACTGAACCGACACAGGGATGAGACCGAGCAAGCGAGAGAGAGAGAGAGAGCGAGAGGCCACACGGCCCATATTCACTCACTCACTCTTTAAAAACAGGGAAGGGGAAGAGGGGACTCGCATTGTACTGGGCATGTAAATGAGACGAAGTGAGAGAGCTTGTGGGAAAAGAAATAGGGCAAGCTGTTTCGGGACAGTTTTGGGACACTCACACACACACACACTCATACACAGACGGAGGATTATACTGCAATACTGATTATACTCTCTTCAATACCACTGTAGACTTCTGGGAAGGCATTAGAATGTGTGAGTTTGTGTGAGTGAGTGCGTGAGAATGCGTGTGAGAGAGAGAGAGCAAAAGAGAGTGAGTGTGTGTGTGTGTGTGTGTGTGTGTGTCTGTGTGTAAGAGTGTGAGTTAGAGAGAGAGAGGGATTGAATGTGTGTGTGAGTGTGTGGTTGTTTGTGTGTGTGCACGCGTGCATCAGAGTGTGAGTATGTGTGTGCAATAGTAAAATGTGGTCCCTCTCTTGACAGTTCGAACAGAAGAAGTCATTATTCTTGATTCTGAGAGAAAAGAACTCATGGAAAACTCTCTCTCTGCTGGCTTGTGTGTTTACTGAAGCATCAGCTGTGAACCAGTGTAACGGATCACGACTGATGAACTTCATAAGGACTTTAACTTCGCCTGGTGTGTGTGCGCGCGTGTTCAATCGTTGGCAGGACCCAGTAAGAAACGCTACGCCCACTGTAATTAGGGATGTGTAACTGTACCCCTAGAGAGAGTGTGTGTGTGTGTGTGTGTGTGTGGCTCATGCTCAAACTAGGTTTATTTAGAAGGAAGCGAAGGCCGTCCATCTTCCTCGCTCATCTTTTGTGCTCTCTCTTTTTTTCCCAAGTTCCCCTCAATTTCTCTCGCTGGGATTCTTCCCTTCTCTTTACCTCACCAATCCCTTGACCCTCTTTCCCCATCTATCCAGGCCAAGTCTTTTACATACACACACACACATGCATTTGCTTATTGGCGCGAGGAGCCAAAGATGCTAATTTGCTCTTCATGCATGGACACTTTTCTCAGTCAAGCATGGAGACAACGCATGCACACTTCTCAGTGCTCTAAACATGTTCACTCCTCTCTCTTCATAACCAGGATCAAGACATGACAGGTCAAAGGTCATGACCTACTTTTCCCAGGACTCATTTTAGGCTAATCCTTGAACCCGTTATATAAATAAATGCTCAATTACAGACTTTATATATATATATATATATATATATAGGGCTGTGAGTTTAACACGTGATTAATGGCGTTAGCGCAAACCCATTTTAACGGCGTTAAATTTTTTATTGTGCGATAAACCGTCTTTTTGGCCTAGCAAACTTTGTGGGTTTTTTTCACTTGCTTTTGCAACAGGATTTGGCATGTGCGGCACTGCGCTATGAAACACATTAATTTCAATGGCTACCAAAGCATCCAAAGTTCGTCGACCAAAGCGCAAGCGGATCTAGCTAGACGGGAAACAAAACAGGCGCAACGCAGCACACAATCATTTGGGCTTGCGAGCCGGCCAAATAGTTGGTCAACGTTACGTTTTGAGTGGATGACGAGTGCGAGAAACATTTGCACAATGCAAGCCAATTGTCACATAGCAGGTTGGAACATCGAAGGAAGCAGGATCCAAATGCAGCAGCAGTAGTAGTACTTTTATTAAATAAACCAAATACTAGACATACTCAAAAACTCAGACACAGAGAACAAGATCAACATCAAGAACCCACAAACACTGTAACAAGACCCAGGGTTTAAATACAGAGACTAACAAGCTAAGTGAGATAACAAGGGGCATGGTATACATGAACACAAATGAGGAGCAGGAAAACAGGGACCAGGACTGAACCAAATGCACAAAGACAGGGGGAACACAGACATCATTACATAGCCCCCCACTTAAGGAACGGATTCCAGACGCTCCCCAGAAGAAAAAAAAGTTCAGGGGAGGGGGGATGAAGCAGAGGCGGTCTGGGGGAGGGACGGCGGGCCAGGCCCGTGCAGGGGAACGGGACAAGGAGGTAGCAAAGGCGGGCCTGGGCCGCAGAGCGTGGCCGGAGGATGACGAGGCGAAGGCCAGGGCGGAGCTGTCGGAACCTCGGGTGTCCAGGGTGGAGCAGACTGTGGGCGTGGCCAGGGCAGAGCAGACTGTGGGCGTGGCCAGGGCAGAGCAGGCTGTGGACGTGGCCAGGGCAGAGCTGTCGGACCTTCGGGCGTCCAGGGCGGAGCTGTCGGACCCTCGGGCATCCAGGGTGGTGAGGATCCCTCAGGCGGCCACGGCGGTAAAGATCCCTCAGGCAGCCACGGCGGTGAAGACCCCTCGGGTGGTGGCCGTGGCTGGGATAGTGGGCCCCCCCAAAAAATATTTGGGGTGA